TGTGGCCATGCCCCACTGGGAGGTACTTTCTCCCTCTCTTTCTGGTGAGTGTGCACACCCTCTGGTAATTTGAAAAGAAAAATAAGTCTATCAAAATTTCAAAGATATGATTCCACTTAAGGAATTTTAAACATCAAGCCGGGATTCACAGACACTTGAAAACATCTTATTCAAATTATACCTTGCAATACATGAGATCACAAATGATGCTTCACCCAACTGTAAGAGAGATATTTTTGCATAGAAAAACATGTCATGACTTTTCTGACGACTCAATAGTTGTTTGAGGCTTCCAAGGCTTGTAAAACACACACAAGCAACTCAGGATTACTTAACAGAGGGGTGGCTTTAGTTTCTTTACAAAAACCCTGCATGGGAACCAGCAGTTAGCGTAATGGCTATGTCGCTGGACTCCCACCTAGTCGACCATGGTTCGTGTCCCGGACCCAGTGACTTAAAACTCACGCCGGGCGCATGTGTGTGCGTGCCCAAGATCCCGAGAGGAGAATGGAGGAGAAGGGATTGCGGCGTGACCATCCCCCCTGGGGGGTGATTTCTCGCTTTCTGTCTCTATGTTTCTCTCTGTCTGTCTGGTGAGCGCACATGCCCTATAGCAGGAAAAAAAAAAAAAAAAAAAACCCCAAAAAAAAAAAAAAGCCCTTCATGATCTGACATTGTGACTCAACACTGCAGCCTCACTGCCCTTTGTTGATGTGGCCTGAGCAGGTGGACTCCCAGGCTGACATGAAGCCTTCTGAAGCTAGATCAAATGCCCCCAAATGAAGTGTTTGGAAAGCAGATACTTGCTGGGCCATCAGGAGAAGCAGGTATGATTCAGAGGGGACGGAAAGAGGCAAAAGCAATGACCTACAGGACAGCAAGGTGGAGAGCTGACAGACACAGAATCACCATGACCGTAGAGCTACTACCTCAGATCCTGATCCAAAGAGCTCAAGAAATCTTCTATCTCAGAAAGAACCCATCCGAGGACCAGCAGATGGAATAATGGTAATGTTGCTGGACTCCCATATAGTTGACCGCAGTTCAAGTCTTAGACCTGGTGGCTTAAAACTCATGCAAGGCACATGTATATGCCCCAAGTCCCAAGAACAGAATATAGGAGAAAGGATTGTGGCATGGCCATTCCCCCGGGGTGGGGGGGTATTTCTCACTTTCTGCCTCTCTGGTGAGCAGACATGCCCTGTAACAACAACAACAACAAAATCTCTCTTAAAAAAAAGAGAGAGAGAGAGAAAAAGAGAAATAAAGAACCCATCCGAATTGGAAGCCATTCTGACAAAGAAAATGTCAAGGGAAAATCCTGAAATCCTGTCACTCTTCCTTTTTCAAATCATAAAATAGTTTCCCTAGAAAAGCACATCTGGGCAGACTTATCACCTCTTGAAAAAAACAGATACCTGGGCTTTGAGAATCTTGATGATGTTAAAAATTTCTGACCAGAGGCTAGCATGTGGCATGATGGTTAAGGCCCTAGGACACTACCATATGGCCAGCCACAGTTTGAGTCCCAGACCTGGTGGCTTGCTTTCTCACCTTCCTCTCTCTCTCTTTCTCTCTGGTCAAATTAAAATAAATGAATGAATAATTCTTTTTAAAAATTTCTAACCATCCAGAGTTTCAGAACCTGGGAGTGAAAACTGCCATGAATGATCAACGAATATCTGCTTTCCCAGGTCAGACTCCAAGTGTGGGCCAGATGAAGCTATTAAAAGAGCCAATTCTCTTGCGAAAAAGCACATTCTGGCAAAGCCACACAAAAAGGAATATTGTAGTAATCAACACAGATGAAAATAAAAACAGGATGAAGGTTTCAGCCAAACTTTTCTTCACTTCTGCTATGAGGGCTTAATTTTGGGTGCTGAAATCAGCAAAATTTTCAGATTTAGGATGTTAAATATAGGAGTCAAAATTGAGTACAACTTTAAGTGAAATTATAGCAGGCCCTTGACACTTATAAGGATTAATACTGCCTCTCACATTTATCAACCTCTGAGTGTCAAACAGTCTTCATCCCTTCAAATGGCTTGAAGTATTCATACCTTGGTGTTAGATAGACTCTCTCAATGTATTTAACAGATAACCTAAATATGTAATGTATAGTCTTTGAAATAATACATGGTGAAGCTTCCTATAAGGAATTTTCTTTATCCATGTTCGAGTTTTAGGGGCGAATTCTGTAGAGTTCACCAGAGAACAGAAAAATCCAGGCAATATAGTGTACCCATGTTTCTCAGCTGAACAATATAGTCAGAGTTTGCTTCACCTTCTAACCAAAAGACAACCAGGTCAGTGGAAACTGTGAATATACTACTTTACATGACAAAGGGATATTACAGGTGTGATTAATGCAGAGCTCTTAAAAGAGAGAGATTATCCTGGATAATCCAGATGCTCCAAATGCAACCACAAGGGTCTTTATAAGAGACTGGCAAGACCTGGTGGCTTGCTTTCTCACCTTCCTCTCTCTCTCTTTCTCTCTGGTCAAATTAAAATAAATGAATGAATAATTCTTTTTAAAAATTTCTAACCATCCAGAGTTTCAGAACCTGGGAGTGAAAACTGCCATGAATGATCAACGAATATCTGCTTTCCCAGGTCAGACTCCAAGTGTGGGCCAGATGAAGCTATTAAAAGAGCCAATTCTCTTGCGAAAAAGCACATTCTGGCAAAGCCACACAAAAAGGAATATTGTAGTAATCAACACAGATGAAAATAAAAACAGGATGAAGGTTTCAGCCAAACTTTTCTTCACTTCTGCTATGAGGGCTTAATTTTGGGTGCTGAAATCAGCAAAATTTTCAGATTTAGGATGTTAAATATAGGAGTCAAAATTGAGTACAACTTTAAGTGAAATTATAGCAGGCCCTTGACACTTATAAGGATTAATACTGCCTCTCACATTTATCAACCTCTGAGTGTCAAACAGTCTTCATCCCTTCAAATGGCTTGAAGTATTCATACCTTGGTGTTAGATAGACTCTCTCAATGTATTTAACAGATAACCTAAATATGTAATGTATAGTCTTTGAAATAATACATGGTGAAGCTTCCTATAAGGAATTTTCTTTATCCATGTTCGAGTTTTAGGGGCGAATTCTGTAGAGTTCACCAGAGAACAGAAAAATCCAGGCAATATAGTGTACCCATGTTTCTCAGCTGAACAATATAGTCAGAGTTTGCTTCACCTTCTAACCAAAAGACAACCAGGTCAGTGGAAACTGTGAATATACTACTTTACATGACAAAGGGATATTACAGGTGTGATTAATGCAGAGCTCTTAAAAGAGAGAGATTATCCTGGATAATCCAGATGCTCCAAATGCAACCACAAGGGTCTTTATAAGAGACTGGCAAGAGGATCACAAAGAAGGCAATGCGACTACAGAAGCAAAAGTCAGAATGATGTGATTGTAGCAAAAAGCCATAAAACAAAGAATGAAGGCAACTCCACTAAGCTGGAAAATTCAAGAAATGAATTTTATCCTGGAGTTTCAGAAAGAACAACTGTTCTGGAACCTTGAGTACAACCTAGTGAAACCTATTTCAGACTTCTGACTTCAGAACTTTAAAAAGGTATATTTGTGTTGTTTTAAGCCACTTAATTGATGTCATTTGTTACAGCAGAGACAGAAAACAAAGACAGTCAATGACATTTGTCTTTAACACACTTCCTTTATTCTCATTTTCTTCTTCTAATGTCAAATGAAACACCAGTTCAATCAATCAAGGTTTCTGGAATGACCTTTTTCTTTTCAGCAACAACTCCCTAAAAAAAAACCCTCACTCATTCTCACTGTCATTACAGTGGAGACAACTCCTCCTAGAAGAATTTGCATTTCTAAATTGGATAAGGGAGTACATATTTTGTCTAGAAGGAAAGAGTACTGATCCTAGGTAATTACTTAGAGCCAGACACCATAGTGGGTATATTGCACATATTTTTTTTTTCATCTTCCTCAAACTACCCCTCCCCATTTTGCAACTGAGAGGATGAAAGGTCAAAAAAGATAAATAAGAGGGACCAGCAGTTAGCGTAATGGCTGTGTCGCTGGACTCGCATGTAGTCATCCACAGTTCGAGTCCCGGACCCAGTGACTTAAAACACGCCGGGCATGTGTGCATGCGTACCCAAGATCCCGAGAGGAGAAGGGAGAAGAAGAGATTGCGGTGTGGCCATCCTCTCTTTCTCTGAGGGGTGATTTCTCTCTTTCTGTCTCTCTTTGTCTGTCTGGTGAGCGCATGCACCCTGTAGCAAAAACCTCTCAAAAAAAAAAAAAAAAGAGAGAGAGAGATAAAGAGAGTACTATGAATTAGTAAACACAAGGGGTGCTAGAACCTGGGCTATATAACTTTAAAATACAAATTCTTTACAGGATAGCTCCAGAACAGTACACTTTGTCACACTGCCTACAAATTTGCAGATGTAGGCCTTATCTGCCCAGCCATGTGCAGATGCCAGATACATACATAACCTTTTTTTTTTTTTAGTGACTTTTGCTATAGGGCACGTGCACTTGCCAGAGAGACAGAAAGCAAGAAATCACCCCTTGGGGGAATGGCCTCACCACAATCCTGTCTCCTCTATTCTCTTGAAATTTGGGCAGGCATGCACATGCGCCTGGTGTGAGTTTTAAGCCACCAGGTCTGGGACTCGAACCACAGTCGTATACATGGGAGTTCATCGATGTAACCATTACGCCATCTGCTGGTCCCATACACAACTTTTTTTTGCTGCCTATCTTCTAAGTTGTGTATACAAAACAATAAAATGCTAACGGTAGAATGTTTGCAACAATTTGGAAGAAATGGTGATTTGGGGAGCAGGCACTAGTCCTGGAAAAATAAAGAGGACACTTTGGCTCAGAGCATTGAGATCTTTTTGATAGGTCATCATGGACTCTCAGTGCTATTTCCTTTCAGGGGTGAATCACATTCCTGGGGCATGTTGCTATTCCTAATCATTTTAAATCTCTTCATAGGTGTGTTTGCGTTTGGACTTTTTGCTACGGACATTTTTGTAAATGCCGGACAAGTGGTCACTGGGCACCTAACGCCATACTTCTTGACTGTCTGCAAGCCGAACTACACCAGTTCAGACTGCAGAGCCCACCATCAGTTCGTAAACAATGGGAACATCTGTACTGGGGACCTAGAAGTGATAGAAAAAGCTCGGAGATCCTTTCCTTCCAAACACGCTGCGCTGAGCATTTATTCCGCCTTATATGCCACGGTGAGTGTGTGAATCTTGCTGTCTCTCCCACGTTTGACTAGGATGTATCTTTATCCTCCCTACCCCCACCTTTTGTCATTGTCACTTGTTTTAAAAGTCATATGCAATGTGTTTCTGCTATACTGTATCATATCACTGATATGTCTCCTGCCCCCACCCCACTCCCAATGCCCCATCCTGACCTATCAGGTACAGTAGCTCAAGAAGATATTGTGATAATCACCGAATTACATCTCCAGTTTTACAGATGCAGAAAGTAGTTCCCAGGGAATAGCTAAGAACATGCCGTCAAGAATGGGATCCAGGCTTCTGATACTCTGTCTGGAATTCTCTCACTGCCCCTAAGAGCACTCTGTCGGAGTTCTGGTTATGCTGGGCATGCGCACGCATCTCGTGATGAGCTGGAAGGCTGGGCTAAGGGGAGTGCAGGGTTGACGAGACCCTGTTGAGGGTGCCTCTCTCTTTCGCATGTGCACATGTGTGCACGCATGTTACCATGAACAGACTAAACCAGCTTAAAAAAACAGCTTGGTTGGTTCCAGAACGGTACACCTTTGTCACGCTGCCTACAAATCTGCGGGTGTGGGCTTTATGTGAGCAGCTGTCCCAGCCATGCACAGACCCCAGATAAATACACAGCCTTTCTTTACTCCTTATGACACTCTGTCCATCACTTTACTAGGAGAGTTGGGTGATCCTAGAAGGACCCCAACATCCAAAAGTTTACTTCTTACTGCTCCCAAACCACCCCAACTTGGACTGCTCCACTGGGGTATAATATTCCCTTAAAATTTTTACTCTTATTACAGAAAAAAGCAATGTGTCCGATATCTTAAAGAAACACTAGTGCCCCTCATGTGTCCTTACTCTTCAACTACATCAACTTTGGGAATGACCTCATTTCACCGTTCTCCAGCCTTTCTTCCTTAGGACCCAGAACACAGAAGTGTAAGGATCAGCTGAAAAGCCCCACATGCGGACACTGCACTATCACTCGTAGATATCGTGTGTATTCACCAGCAGAGGACCAACTGGTGGTCAAGCTCAGCTTTTTCCTTACTTTAACTCAGTTTTAGGATATGACCCATCTGGGGATTCTCAGAAAAGTGAGGCAGGGAGAAGGCAGAAAAAGACCCCTTTCAACTGATCTTTTCTTACTAAACATTCTGCATGTTGACTTAGCTCACCCTCCTGGAGGTGAGGCAAGCTCCATCCCCTATCCCCCCCCCTCCCCACGCCCTGCAGACATTAACTGCAGGAAGCACATCCTCCTGGAATCTAAAGGTGTCTATGTCTCTGTCTACACGACCATGCTGGAGGAAAAGATCTGAGTGTGGGTCTGGTTTATTCAGTAAAGCTTAAAATAATTTGCTGAATATTCTCTTTAAAACAACCAGGAGGATGGGGGCCAGCAGGCGGCATAGTGATTATGTCACTGGACTCTCACGTAACTGATCTGTGGTTCGAGTCCCTGAACCTGGTAGCTTGAAAATCACACCAGCTGCATATGCGTGCATGCCCAAGATCCCAGGAGAATGGAAGAGAAGGGCTTGTGGCAGGGCCAAGCCCCCTAGGAGGCGATTTCTCTCTCTTTCTCTGTCTCTGTCTCTCTGTCTCTCTCTGGCACACCTGCCCTATGGCAAAAACCTCAAAAAATAAAGCAACCAGGAGGAGACAGTGCCTTTCTGCCCCATTTACAGGGTCACATGTATAATGTCGACCACATTAGTCAACCTGTCTTCTTGCTCGTTTCATTACCCTTTAATGAACACATGCTCAAAACGATTTCAGCTGCCCCACACTAAGGAAACACGAATGGACATAATACAGAAGCCTCAATTTACAACACAGAGCAATAGCAGCTTGGTTAGACTTTTGGGCTTTATTAAAAAAATTAATTTAAAAAAACTCAGATATTTTTTAGACAAACAAAAAAATGTGAGGCACTCAGCTATTTTTCAGTTTCCAGAATACAGTAGCCTCCTGTTATGAGTTAGGGATGTGTTCCAAGATACGCAATGGATGTCCGAAACCACTTTTGAATCCTATGTATATTTCATTCTTCCTATATACACATACATGCCAAGGATAAAAATTTAATCTATACTGGGACCAGCAGTGGGCATAATGGCTATGTCACTGGAATCCCAGATAGTCAACTGCTGTTCAAATCCTAGACCTGGTGACTTAAGCTCATGCCAGGAGCATGTGCATGTGTGCCCAAGATCCTGAGAGGAGAATGGAGGAGAAGGGATTGCAGCATGGCCATTTCCCCTGGGGGGTGATTTCTCGCTTTCTGTCTCTCTGTCTCTCTGTTTCTGTCTTTCTGGCAAGCACACGCACCCTATAGCACAAACCTCTCGGAAAAAAAAAATCTATAAATTAGGCACAGTAGGAGATTAACACTAATAAAATAAAATTATACTGTACTTTAATAAAAGTCATGTAAATGTTGCCTCTTGCTCAAAGTATCTTATTGTACCTTATTCAGCTATTCTTTAGAATATGGTGAATCACAGGTAACTGAAGCAGTGGAAAGCAAAACTACAAGAAAGGGACTACTGTATTTAATTGTCCTAAATTGTCTAGAACCTAAATTGTATAAAGCAGTGAACTCTTAGGCCTTTTCCTGCATTTTTCATCAGACTCAAGTCACTGCTGTGTGACATTAATTTTTATAATACCATTGTAAAAATAAACTTGTTACTCATAATAAACTACTGTCTCATCATCAAACGAAACAAAATTCTTTTGGGAAGAAAGGAATAAATCAGTTCATACACAATAGAGGCTGGCATAGCACACATTTTCAAAGATTCAGGTATAATCCAATTCAAATCATGCCTTACAGTTTATAATTATATAAATCCTGATACAAGATTGCAATTGTAGAAACATCTTCTGAGTCGCTATTACACATTAAGTACCTTCAGAAATTACTCAGCAAGGATTCTCTAAGCACTAGTTAATACCGTGGAGAATACTAACCATAGGCACATGATCTTAATCGTTTGTAATCTTACAGGGAAGATTTATAAAGGATGTGATTAGAAAATAATGTAGAAGCCGGAACCAGTGGATGGCATAATGGTTATGTTGCTGGACTCCCATGTAGTTGAGCGTGGTTTGAGTCTCAGACCCATTGGCTTAAACTCACACTGAGCACGTGTGCATGCGTGCCCAAGATCCTGAGAGGAGGATGGAGGAGAAGGGATTGCGGCATGGCCATTTCCTCTGGGGGATGATTTCTCGCTTTCTGTCTCTGTCTGTCTCTGTCCTTCTGGTGAGTGCACGTGCCCTATAGCAAAAACCTCTTAAGAATATAGAAGCATAAAAACTAAATAAAATATATACAATATATATTTAAAATAACATTTCATGCTCAGCCTTAGGTTAGTATAATAATGTGCTGTAAGTTATTTATCTTTGATCTAACCACAATTTGGTAGGGCATCTATTAGGTAGAATAAAGATATTCCCATCTCCCCATATTCTTATTGGCTTAAGGCATCATTCTGGAGTATTAACAATTTTCATTACACTATTGTAAAGTGAATCTATTTGGACTTATATGTACTCAGGCTACACAAATACACTATAGACTGTAAGTATCAGCATCTTGTTTCTGATCGTTAAACCCCTCTAGAACATTTACTAAGAAATGATGGGTCAATATTGCCCTCTAGTGGTGTCTTGTAAGTATTACCCAAGGTGAGCTAACATTTCATTTGAAAGAGGCACATCTTCCTGACTAGCCCTCACCTAAGAAAATACTAAAGCTTCCACCTCAAATGCCCAAGTTGCATCATCCTTTATTTAATTAGGGTCTTGCCAACCTTTTTTATGGTATGATGCACATAAGAAAAGTTTAATGTTATAAAATAGAGTGGAATAAACGAATGGATGGAACAGATCACAGCTGTCTCGAGGGATATTGAAGTCCATTTCCCACGCAACTGAAACCTATTTTTGCAATGTAGCGATTTGGAGGTTCTAACACAGCCCCTCAACTCTCAGTCGATACTTTTGTATTGATTATCTGAAAGTGCAAAGCAGCAGCTAAAACTATGGGAGACCCAAAAAGTATAATGTACAGTCACTGCCCTCCTGTACACCTCCTTCACCATAAAATCTATTCTCATGGAAGGTTTATTTGGTGTCTGAGATTCTTATGTAGGTTTCCTAACATCCCAAGTGATTCTCTAACCTGTTGCATAAAAACTGCATATTCTGAATCTGACATTATGCAGTCATTCCTTGCATTGCTAAAACTTCTGTTAACATGCCCACTGGAATACAAAACACTGATTAATGTACCCCTGTTTAGTGTTCTGGCTGCAGTTTCCTAGCCAACGTTCTCAGTGTGTAGCCTAGTGGAATTGTTCAAGGCAAACTAGTTAGTATGGTTGCTCTGGCATGGGCGGGCCCCTGCTGTGTGTACATTTGTGTGTGTGCCTGTACAAGCCAGCTGTCTGGTTACTCCCTCCTTCCGTCCTGTTCTAGATGTACATCACAAGCACAATCAAGACGAAGAGCAGTCGACTGGCTAAGCCGGTGCTGTGCCTAGGGACCCTCTGCACTGCCTTCCTGACTGGCCTCAACCGGGTCTCTGAGTATCGAAACCACTGCTCGGATGTGATTGCAGGCTTCATCCTGGGCATTGCAGTGGCCCTGTTTCTGGTGGGTCAGCTTCTGTTTTTCTACTATTTTTTCTTTTGTGCCCTCTGAAAGGATGTCTCCGATCATGGTGAATGGACTTTGTAGTCTCACTCAGTGTTCCTCTTGTCCCTCTTTTGTTGGTTATGATTATTTTCCAAGTATTATACATTCATTTGTTGCAAGAATGATTTTGAAGCATTTATTTCAGAAATAGGATTGGCAGTGTTCCTTCTGGAGTCAAGGAGAGAACAGAACTGCCCAAGGAAGGATGGCTTGCCCTACTTCCTGTAATACAGGGCTTGAGATCAAGTCTAGGCTATACCTTCAAGCCAGTGTTCTTGATTTGCTCACAACAGAAACCATGTGGTTTAGGTGGAAAGCAGAAGGCAAAGAGCACTGGCAGAGGCAGTCAGCCTCTTCCCCAGCAACCCACAGGAATCACACAGGATGCATATTGTGCTCCAGAGTACAAAAATCTTGCAGCTAACCACATGCACACTTTTCAGAAGGCCTCCATTATTATGTGAACATGCCTCTTGGGCACCTTATTTCCATGACAAGTGGCTTCTCAACCATATCTGATCTTTCTGGGAAAGAGGTTTGGTATAGTTTTTTCTCTGTATCTTTGCACTTCTGATGTTGTTTTAGTTCCTGAAATATATGGGGGACCTGGCCACTTGCTCACCCAGGAAACCCCTTCATATGATTCAGAATGGAAAAGAAAAAGTTAAGTTTCATTCTTTCATTTCTTTCTGTTTTTCTTTTTTCTACAGTTTTATTGAGGTCTCATAGGAGCCAGAAAGAGAATTGCCTAAGGAAAGATGTAATAAATGGCAAAAAGTATACAGTTTGATAAATTTTGACAGACAGATAAAGTC